TTTCAGCTTGTCCCAGGTGCCACTAGCTAAATTAGACAAACTCACTTTTACAAAAGAGCACAAAAGACTTATTAAAACACAGAAGCTGTCCCACTCCCAGTAATCCTATGCTGCAACACTATGGAACAATTGTTCAGCAGAGGTAAATTTCAGTGAGACATGAATTTTTGGAAGGCAAAACGCTTTCTTTTTTCAAGCAAGTTTTCCCAGAAGCTAATATTACAAGGCTTTCTGATTTGTAACTTGAGGCTACTAGTGTAATTCAAGCAACAGGCCATAAAAAAGCCTTGAGAAATGGAAGCAAATTGTCTTTAGAAGCAATCTTACAGTCTAGTGTCATGGATTATGACACATAATATCAAGAGCACTATCAAGCAGCAAGAGGGAATATAATGTGTTTGCCTTACAAACTGAAATGGACATTTGGATTCTGGCAATAAAGGAGAGATAAGTTTATTTTCGAAAAAGAATTAGAAATGGTACCGTTATTTATATGACACCTGAAATTTACCTTTTTCCCTTTCTCAAGGAGACATAGACAAATGCTCCTCATTTATATGCTTGAGTACCTCGTTTTAAAGCAACATCAGAACCATGCATATTGCATAAGTGGGATTTTGACAGAAGTCTACTTAGTGTTCATTGCTATGTAGTGGTCTTGGCTAAATTCACACATACAAAAATCATATCTTGCAGAATGCTGCAAAGAGAGACAAATCTTCAATGGTTGAGAAGTTTTAACAAATGAAGCTGGAAAAAATCCTGTTAAGTCAGCTCTCTCTGGATAGTTGTGGAGGCATGGCCATGGTGTTCCTATATCAAAGGCATTCTCAGATAACTACATTCTGTGCCAGCTACTCCGCCACTTGATTTTTGGGACAACAGGGACAGAACAAAAGGAAGGCTTTAACTTTATAATCAGGGAATTTTTCACTTCCTGATCCAGAAATCATAATGAGGAAAAATTAAAATTGAAATGCAGCTCTACATGTTGGCATTGGCAATGTAGAGAACTCAAAAGAAAAGCTTTTAACTAGTTTTGTTAAGTTTTGTTTTGTTAAGCAAAAGTATTTCTTAACAAAACCAAAATGAAGCTAAAACCTCCCTCTCTGATAAGCCTGATATATATACACCTTTTAAAAGGCTATATATTGTATTATATTACATTATATTATAGTGACTRTAGAAGAATGCAGTACTGAAACAAAAACTGTCAAAACACAGGTCTTGATTTGACCATGAGGTGGCAGCACTACTCATCACATAGACAGAGGACCTTAGACTTTCGCTGTGTGTACTAGCTGTGGAAGATGCAAATATCCCGTACATTTCTGTGCTAAAAAAGGCATGTTACCACTAGAATAATGCATTCTCAGAACAAACACACAMAAAAAATGAACCTTTTACTTGTCTACAAATAGTAGGTAGCTGAGATTTGATTGAATGAACCATTCTTTGCTACCCGAAACAAGAAGTTACACTGAAAACCTTGCATTAAAATTGCAGAATCTTTTCCCAATGAGAAAAAAAAAAAAGAGGGCATGATACAAATAACCTGTGAAAGTGTCAATTACAGGATCATACAATCAGAATGGCTTAGCCCAACTCCCCTGCAACGTGCAGAGACATCTTCAATGAGATCACATTGCTCAGAGCCCTCTTCAACATGACCTTGAATATTCCAGGGATGAGGCTTCTGCCACCTCAGTGGACATCATGTTCCAGTGTTTCATCACCATCACCAAAACCAATTTATTTCTTATATCAAGTCTGTAATGGGGAAGAACAGTTTTCTCATTTGCAGTTAGTTTTATGAGAACAAAAATTATTTTGAAAAAAATAAAGGTTGGAATGCAAAGAAAAATTATGTCAATAGGACTGCTTATAATTTTCCATTCAAAGATTTGGCAAGCAGTGATTTCACATGGGAAAATTCAGTTTTCCAAAATGATTTAATAATGTTCTATCCCACAGGAAATATTTGATAAATTACTTGTGCTGCTGATGTCTCTGATAGGGCTTTGTTTCTTTATTTGAAAAATGGTGTCCTCATGCTTCTTTTCTTGAAATTGGAAAAAGGGAAGTACTGAGTAACAGGCAGTATCTCCCACAGGGAAAAAAAAAAAAAAAACAAAAAAAACCCACCCACCAATAACATGAAGATCAGATTAATGTGAGAAGAAGACTAGTCTATGTTCAAGAGACTTGCACAGGACTTTGAAGCAGTTGTCTCAATTTCAAGATATGTCTGCAACTTACATAGCCATCCAGAAACTAGCTTTACTCCTTTGGTATGGATTAGTCGTACAAAGCTCTGGCTAGATATGTAGTTCACACTCTCAGTGAGCTTGATCCCTGCTCCTGGAGACATACCCACTTAAGTATTTTTGTGTAGCTGCAAGGTAACTGACACAGAAAATGCAATTTACACCTGTGACTATAGGGTAGACATGTAATTTCAACACCTTTGTGTCAACATGACTAGCTATTCTATGTCTCTCTAGTCACTAGGTTCCCCATGTGGTAGAAAGACAAACAGAATGATTTTGGCATGTATGTATGCTTATAAGAAGACATTACAATAGCTTCAGTTGTATATAATTTAAAAAGCTACTTGGATACATATCCTACAGAGATTTACGCAAAATATGCTCTGCAGCTTTCTTTTCTGAGTGCAGTATACCTGCTCAGTAGGACAGAGGGACATCATTTGGGTTCAGGACTTCATCTGATGCAAAAGGGTAGTGGTGATAAAGCCAAAGCTCTTGTGTTAAACATATACAAATATGTTTAATACAAATACTCCCCTGTATATAGTGTTAATGTTTAATACAAATACTCCCCAGCTACAAACTGAGCAGAGGTTGTAAAATCCAAGAACAGAACAGAAGTTTTAAAACCCAAATACCCTTGACCCTGAAAAGGTCCAGGCTGAAATTCACCCTCCAGCAAACTATATGTGGTGAGCACATTATAGCCATAATCTCAATCTTTTTTTCCAGCATGTGACATGTGAGAGACCATGCACTGGCACAAGAGAAAGCATATGTTCATTTCAGTAGTCTGCAAAGAGGTATGTGTTATCCATGGATAATGATCCTTTCTCCATATCACTCACAAGACTGGTAAGGAGATTTGCTCAGGAGTGGGTAAAGGACAGAACAGGTTGTGCAGCATTTGGCAAAGCAGAAGGGCCATCCTCATGTTTTTCTTTCTAAGGTGCATAATTTACAATTTTTCTTCTGATTTCTGTCAATTAGATAATTAGCTGTAATATGCCTTTACACAGTTTGAATGAGAAACAGCCTACAAATCGTTTTTGCACAGTTGGAGTTGCTTATTCCCTGTTATCAATTGGTCCCATAGTATTGGTCTTTTCCCTAAAGGGATCAACATAACTTTCTCTTATGGGACAATAAATGACAAGTACAAATAACACCAAACAAAGATAAACAACTTGCTTCCAAAATAGAAGACCCAAATTCACACCCTCAATATTCAAGTTAGGTTGAAACATTCACTTCTTGGTCCTCCAGCCCAAATAAATAGGTGACCCTAATATTTCTAAGACCTTGAGAGTGAAGGCCTTCAAATGTAACCTTTTCCTCAAAGTTAGAGTTTCACAGGTCTACTGTCTTCGCTGAATTGGTGCTCCTGAGTTCCCCTGAAAAAGCCCTAGTGTTTCTGCATTCACCTGGTCCTGAAAGGACTGCCGCCTCCCAGCACCAATTTTTGCTCAGCCATCAATGACCAGAGTAGGGAGAGCAGTGGTTCTGCCCATTAACTATTTTAGAGTATTGATATTTACATACACAATGGCACATCTGCATGAAAATCTGAAGAGCCACCCTTTATTTGAGTATTTATGCTTAATTCCTGCCTGACTTCAGTAAGAGCTATGATTGGTACTTCAATACTGTTTTCCGAACAAGCATTTAAGTCAGGTATATAAGTAACCTGACCTCTTAAAATAATAACTGAATTTTTCTGAACAATTGGTAGTAAGCAGCCTCTTAAGAAAAAGGTCATGATTATGTGTCTGAAACTAATACATGCTTCTGATGAAATTCTCTTCTTATTTATCTCTTTGCTAGGGTAGTAGCTATTTAAATAATTTCTTCAAAGGAATAATAAATAATAAATAAATAAATAATAAATTAAAAAAAACACTGTATCATACTAAATTACAGTACTTACAATTACTCTTTCTTGACCATCAAAACAAAGCATTGTATTATTTACATTTAGGAATTGTTACATTTCAGTGAATTTCACTGATACCTACACAGAAAAAATGTTTGGAAATTTTTTCCTATTTTTTTTGTTATCTAATAATTCAGCAATATTTTTGGAAGCAATGTGGATTCAGATACTATCTCAGAGGCCTGTGGTACCCAGGTGAGGAAGTACAAAACAGTAAACATGCTGCAGAACTTACAGTTATTTTTCCAAATTGCTGAGGCTGCTAAAATATCTGTGGACCTCTACACCAGGCTCAGACTAATTTAAATTATTCCCAGATACCCATGAAACCATCCTATGGCTTGGGATTGCTACCATTCAAAAATGTTCCATCAGCCTTCCTTAATATGACCTCTTGTGCAACATTTTCTTAGGTCTGTTTTTTTCATCTCCAATGCAGCTTGTCCTTACAGACAGAAGAATACAGCCCAAAGAAAGGGTAGTATCTATCAGAAGGATAGAATCTCACAAATCCGCATTTCCTATTAAGTAACTCTAATAATCCAGGATTTTTCTTTCAGACACTGCACAAAAATTGACGGATAAGGCTTACCAGCCGAACTAAGTGGTACTAGGCATTATGTGAAATGAATGATTTTCCCTCAGAATGCTTCAATGGCTTTTTTCAAATCTAATGACCGTTTCTGTTTCTGGTTACCACACAATTTTTTGGTTTTAGAATAAAGTGGAGATGGTTAGGAAACAATAGACTGCATATAAAAATAGGTGGCAAAAATGCAATAAAAAGTTGTCCTTACCATCTGTTTTCTTTGATTCATCCCCCACGCTAAACTTATCTTTTCTGTCCAATTTACTGTCTTCCTTTAATTCACCTAGAAAGAAGCAATAAGAATCAGTAAGAAACAATATAAGCATTTTAATGCAGAGTGCATTTTAATGCTTATAACTCACTAAAATTGAAAAATCCAAAGGAGAGAGATGTTCTTTAGGAGGAAAGGTCTGAGTACAAAAGGAACTGGATTAACACATTTTTATGGAACAAAGCACCAGACAAAATTCATCCAACTCCTACACATAAGCAAGTTTTACAATCTACTTAAAAATTTCTTCACATTACCAAAATCTTTTAAAGCTCCTATGCAAACTCATAACTCCTCTGATTTTATTAAGCCATTAAAAAACTGAGCATAAGCTTCATTTCAGAATCAGGAGTCTGAAGCATTTATGCTTTCAAAAGAAATAAAATCCTGGAAGGTTTCATCATAAGTGTCTGTTTTAAAGAACCATCTTAGATATCCAGAACAGGTCTATGTAATTTTGTCTTACTTTCTCTTACCAGACTCCTTTATCCACAGATTCATTTGTGTTGGTATCAGGGAACAATCATCCTAGCACTGATCATTGCCTTTAGAGTCTCTGAAGCAAACCAGAAAATCAAGGCCTTTGGAAAAGCAATGGTTCATGCAAAATGAAAATATTGAGGGGTATATTTATGAAGCCAGGAATGTCAACCAAGAGTCATTCTCTTTTTGGTCCTCTATTAGTCATACAGCAAAGCAAAGCACATCACACCTTACAAGACCATCCCTTCATTGAATAAGGATGCTGAATCAGATAGAAAATAACTTGAAGGGAAAGCTGCAGCAGAACAGAGCTATTTCACCTGCAGTGTCCAAACAGCAAGAAGGAAGGTCTTCTTCCTTTTGTGATGCACACCTCAACACCAAGAGCTGGAAAATCTCATGTCAGAATTTTTTAAACATGAGACCTTATTATAGTGATGTTTATTCCATTTGTGTTACTATTGGTACTGTAACTACTTTGCAGCCTTGGATCAAAATTAAAGATATTAAGTATTGGAGAGGATACGATCTGTCTTCAAAATACTCATGGGCAGTGGATATTTATTTTTGGAACAYTTCAAAAGAAGAAAAATTGTAGAGAAACAAGGTCTCCCTCTTCCACAATGTGTCCAAACTATTAGGATATTTATTATTCTTGGGTGGCAGTGGATTAATCTCTCTTTCCAATTAAGCTTCATCATAGTATAAAAAAGGAATGATTTTAAAACGCTAAAATATTTAACAAGATAGAACAAAAACATGTTCTGTTCAGATTTTATTTAAAACTTTTCACGTTTATCTTCCTAAGCTCACTGTGTGGGTGAAAAAAAACACGAATGCAAGATGATACAGGACAAACAACACCCTCTTCAGCTGATCACACGACCACTGACTTGGGATCTTTGTAGAGAGTGGTTATGAGCAGATCCAACAGGGTTTATGTGCCTGTTAGATGAAGGTGGTCTTAAAAAACAGAAGTGCATAATCTTCAAGAGCTGATACAAACATGTACCTAGCATGTCGTTTTCTTGCATTTTCTCCACTGTCATACAGCTGACAATAATGATGAGCTAGCTTCTTTTTTGACCATTGCAGTGTCAAGTTGTTTGACCCTAAGTGTGTGCATGAAAATATGCTGAACATTTACACACACACAGTCTCAGAGTTTGATCTCTCAGAGAAAACACAGGGCAGTGGATAACAGAGAGACTTCAAACTCACCCGATAACACAATTTCTGAACTTTCAGTGAATATTATGAAAAAGGGATTTTTGAATATTGTAATATCTACCCTGTCATACTGCCAGCAGCAGACAAGAACAAAGATCATAATGATCTTTATGAAAGGGATTACAGAGGCAGATAAATAATGAACAAATACATTAGCTATTTATTATTAGCTATTAACATGTAGGCATAAAGGAATCTATGTTGAATTCAAGTATGAATTATAAGATTTCATCAGTGCCCAGAGACTCTACAGTGATTGAACATTGTAAAGGTCTTATCACATAAATAAAGGAGCAGAATTTTCTTTCTTGAGGAAGACACTAATTTTCAGAAATCATTATAATCCCTTTCAAAACACATTTGACATTTGCAGCAGACAAATATTGCTGAAAAAGGTACTAGCAAAATCACTAGAGCGCACAAAACCCCCATATTGCTAGAAGCATGCAAAACAAAGGATTAAAGAAGAAAAGTCTGTTGCACTCTAACTGGCGTTTTATATGCCCCTAAACTTTTTGTTTTCCTGAGGGACTTATTCCCATTCACACATGTAACACTGTGTGAAGGAAAATCCCATACATTAGGATGAATGACAGCTTTGACTCCCACAGTCCTTCCAATTAAAAAAAAAAAAAACTCTAATTGTGAATTACTAGGAAAGGCCAGCCACACTGAGAATTATATCAGGAATGTTTTAAACAGAATTTCTGTATCTCCTGCTGTCTAAACTCAGTGCTTGAGCCTGGACTCTCAAAGCGCAAATGCTTATTCAGTCTTTCTCTTAGAGGAGGCTTCTTAGTGGGATTTTCGCTAGTTTCGCACTGCATAATACTAGCCAAGGTTGTGAAAAGTCACGTGTCTGGGCTGCCATTTATTGATATTGGCTTCAGGGAGCAGGAGCTGTGCAAGGAAGGCCAGTGAAATAACCAAGAGACAAGTGATCTGTTTTGTTTGGTTTAATAAGTTTTTTTAATATTTAATGGAATTTTCAAACATTTTTTTTATCTTCTTTAGGATGCAGAATGAGATTCTTATTTTAACTCAGTTCGGCAGCAAGCTAAAAACACTGGAATAAAATTTCTGTCAAAAAAACCCCTAAAAGACAAAGACTCATTACTGTCCTTATAAAGAACAAACTGAGCAAAAGAAGGATGGATAAAAGAAATCCTAAAAGAAGAGAGAACAAAAATTGTCTGTACCAAAATATGTTTCGATCTAAGGCTCAAATCAAAGTTGCCTTTTATTGGTTTTAAATGAGTTTGTAAGATGACTTTGGCTTCTCCTCTGTTAGTTACTCAAGCAATGAAGATATTAATTGAAGCAGGAATATTTGTTTCAGCTTTCAACGCAGTGTATCATAAGAGGCTGCTTCATTTCCATGAGAAAACTAATTTTTCCTTTTTTCCAAGCAAGTATGATGAACCCCATCTACAGAAGATCACTACTTGGAAGTTAATTTCGTTTCWGATTTTCATGTGTAGGTGACTATGCCTATGTTAAAGAAGAGACTCTGGGACCAGGAATGCTTTTTCAGGATATGAGGTCCCCCCATGACTAATGTGAGATATTGGTTTTAGAGCTGGATTTATATTTCAGTGGAAGAAAAGAACTCACTGTTCTGGACATGCTGTTTCTCTTCTCCAACAATGTGATGAAGATCCATTGTCTTATCTGTCGTAGGTGTGTTTTTCCCTTGATAGGTTTCATGTTTGCCCATACCACTTTGCCAAGTGCCATTTACAGGATTCTTACTGGAATCTGTATTTTTGCTTTCCCCAGGATTTGGTTCTTTGCTCTTTTCTGTCTTCGCTTCAGTGACATCTTCACCTGGCTTCCCATACTGTTCATCTCTTTCCTTTTCATCAGTTGCCTGACTAGCATTTTCTTCTGCTTCCTTCTTAGCTTTTTCTTCTGCATCTTCAGCAAAGAGAGAAGCAAACAAGGAAAGAAATTACAACTATCAGTTAATTTGACAAGAACAACTCATATCTAAATCTACTTCAGATTTTTACATGCAAACAACTTTTACTTAGATAAATGTAGGAACTGATTTGACAATAGAAAAAGAACATAGGAAGACATTTAACAAAATATTCTGAAAATAACCACCCAGGTTGTCCTAAATACATATTATGCACGTCCTCTTTTTACCACATAAAGATCACCTTTGAAAATGTGGTCCCTCAAAATTCTTAAAAGGCAAAAAGAGATGCTAGCTACTGAATGCTGTAGGAATATTAACATTAGTTTTATTCTTGGCACACAACAAAACAGCAATTTATCTCATACCATATCATGTAACTCTAAGAGCATAAAGTTTTGGTTCTTTGATATATACCTTTTGTCCCTTTTGTTGTAAATTAGATCCTTTCTCTTCCCTTCCTCTTCTGGTTACCCTTTCTTTATGGCATGCTTTCTTGGTAATCTAACATATTGCTACAGACTAACATATTGCTACCAGTACTTGCTCCTCCATCCCCAAAAGTTTTATGGTCAATCATAAATAAACAAAGCTATAAATTCAAAAGTGAGTGTTGAACAACAGCAGTATCTCAAAATATCACTCAGGGGAAAAAAAGCCCAAAACACACAGAGGCCATTTTCTTCCATTTAAGATACTGGTCTTGTTCTTGTCCAAACCTTAGGTACTTATGCAATACCTGTTTATAAKACTGATTGCAAATTATTTTGGCTTCAGGATATAGAGTAACCTATGAAGTAGCTGAGTAGCTCAGGTCACACTCAGTTTGGAATGTGTGAGCTTATGCAGCTTTAGAGTATAACCGAGTTATACACAGAGATGTGTATACACAGAGATCTGATCTGCACAGAGATATGACCAACATATGCATGTATTTGAGATTTCTGGGTTGGCAACATTCAGTTGGTCCACTCCTTACGCCACCATAGGGTCATTTTAATTGTCTTAATAACCCACAATGTATCTCCTGTTTTCTGAAAGACTGTGTAAGCTGATGAATAGAGAGGTAGATCCTAYAAAAAACTGAATGATGTCTCAGACTGATGGAATTTTTCTTGACATCTGTAGGGAAGATGTTTCGCTCCTCACAGGGGTAGGATCTTAGCCAGTATGTAAAATTTGCAGAATTTCTAAGGGTCTTGTAATATACTTCTTATGAATTAATCTGAACCAGTTTTAAGGAAAATGTACCAATGAGGTACACATACAGGTGACTGGGATGACCGCAAAACCATAGCTGAAACGCGAGGAGTATTTATTTCATTACCTCTCAAAGAATGCCTGGTGGCAGAGACATTTGGGAATACCAGCTCTTAGTTCATCCTAGGTGGCAGCAGAGTGCATGCCTGGTGCCTGCCACAGTATGTCAAAGGGCTTTACTTGTGTAGTTTATCACAGGGATGTTCTTTTATGATCTTGCCCTCTCCCAGCAGAAGGCTCAAGGATGTCTGTGAGAGTGTGTGATCTCTACACAGGAATTATATTTTTCAAAACAGGAGATGAACAACACTAGGCATAATAAATGGAGTTTTCCCATTACATGTTCTCAACATTTCCAGCAGCAAGGTCACTTTGAGCAAAAACTATTCCCCTGCTCACCAAATCTTCCAGTTTTTAGCCTTTCCTCCCAAAAGGTACAAAAGTGGAAAGCAGTCCTAATAAGAAATGACAGTTTGTATTTCCTTGTCAGCAGCTAAATAAAGGAACCTAATTTTTAAATGAATACATTAAGGCTCGCACAAAACCAGAACTCAATTACTCTCATTCATTTCACTAAAATCTATGCTAGATACCATAGATAGCTAGACCATGTATGTAGGTATTTTTCTTGGTGTCTCACAGATTTCATAGAGTATCCTGAGTTGAAAGGAGCCCACAAGGATCATCAAGACGAGCTCTTAAGTGATTGGCCCGACAGAGGTCAAGCCTGCTCTGACCAAGTGATCTAATCTCAGGGTCTCATGGCATACAGAAGGTTTCCTCTCATTTGGGGATCTGGAAAAAACCGCTTTATTTTGCACCTGGACCACAGAACAAAACTTCTTCTCAGGCAAATTGAGTTTTCTACACCACCTCTTGTCAAAGGTAGTCAGAAAATACTTTATCTAAACGGTACTTGGTACATTAAGGCATTTATTCAGTCCTTTTGATTGTAGCTCTTTAATGATGATCCTTTAGGGAAAAAAAATCAGTAATAAACCCACTTACTTTTCCCACACAGTATCAGAAAGTTTCTATAAATATCACAAAGGATAAAAACAGCTCACTGAGGCTCCTAGGAACAATGTTGTTACCAAAGGAAATGCTGTACTGTACAAATAATATAATAATGTTATTAACTTCAAAATAGCAATAGTAGATTTCTTTCTTTCTGCTGTCAACAATAAATGTTTTATTTGTATTCTTTTAATAATAATTGTTTTTATTGGCAGTACATCTTAATTGCAACACACTGGTTTTACAAGGGTCAGCAACTTAAGCCCCTGCTGTGTGGCAGGCCTTGCTGCAACACAGGCAAGGGAGGGTGGCGCAGAAACTTGCTGCAAGTCAGGAGAAAATAACAGCTGAGCAAAGATATTGATGCAAATGCTGTAGAGTCCAAGAACAGTTCCTTAGTCCTCAGCCCTGTCTAGGTTTGAAAGACAGGTGTTTGCCAATGAAGGCAGGGACCCCCCTTGGAGTGATGGATATGACCTCCCCCCTTCCCTCCGAATTATTACATCTGTGAAAATCATGGGCTTTCAGGCAATAATATGGGGAAAAGGGAATAACAGYTYTTACTAATATGTATATCAAGGTGAAACAAGTAACAACAATGATAGCAACAACCAACCCAGCCACAAACCCAATGACAGCCTCAACAGCGATACACCCTCCCTTTGGTGCAGTTATGGACCCATTCGGCAGGGGGAGCCGTTGGCTCCTGGCCGAGCAGGGTGGGTGCAATGATTCCCTGTCGGCTGCAGGGGTCACTGTGGTGTGGGTCCCAGCAGGTTCAGATCTCCCAGTGGCCAAAGGCGGACAAAAACTGGCAGAGGTGGATGGAGAGAAAGTTCCTCTACAGACTCACAGGGGAAAACACTAATCTCAGTGCTCCTCTGGACAGCAAGAAACTCTAGAATGGCCGGATGAGCAAAGAGATGAGCAGAATCCTGTGGCTGCAGACAGGATATAGCAGAACTCGACCGCTGCAGCTGGAATCTCAGGGGTCCCCGGCAAGGCACAGGGGGCAGAAGATCACAGTGCAGCAAACAGGAACCAATGAGCTTAGATGCTGGGCTTTGCAGAAAGCAGCAGGCGAGCTCTCTCCGGCAGGCAGAAGGTCCACCATCCTCCCCCGAGCCAAGCAGGGCAGAAAGTGTAGCTACCCACCAACCCACACACACACGCCCTCCCCGAGCCCAAAACTCTCTCGAGAACTTCCCTCTCTCCAAAGACAGAAAAAAAAA